GGCAGCGATGATAGGTTTGCAAGATCCTTCCAATAATATTCGCCCCGGAAAGCAGATATGATCTAAAGACTGGAGAATATAAACAAAACTAACATCAAACTACAGGAGGGATAAACGAAACAAAGCTTTTATATTCTTTTATCAATTTTTCAAAAACATCATTAGAGTCTACAAATTGCAAGTAACTTCCATCTCTGTCAAGAGATATATCCCATTCCAAAATGTCTCACAAGAAATAAGATTGTGAAATATAAAAGTTCTAGCATCATCTGTTCAAAAGTTAGACCAATGATACATTTTTTGAAAGGTAGGTCAAACTCCAAGGTCAAAGGGTCAAAATTGTTGGTTTCTTAAGAAAGGTCTTGTCAGGACAAATAAATCTCTCATTAACTGGATGAAAGCCTTTGTGCCCGATAATCCGAGTATGAACGCATTCTTCTGAGGAACTTTTTAATACGAGTTATATTTACAAAAGAACAAAAAACGTTTCTATAAGGATAGACAAGATCATGATATTGTTCAATTGGCAATGATAAACATGCATCCTTATAAAACACTTGCTTAGTATTGGATTTCGTACAACCAGGCTTTATCCCATAATTCCAGTGAATTGTGATGACATGCAAAGCTTGCATAATTCATGTTTATTCCTGCAAGCAGTTAAAGAAGGCATGTGACTTTTATTTTTATACTCCCATTTTTCAACTTTGTTAGTTTTAACTTTTTCATCTGACGTTTTACATTCATTGATTGCTCCTGTAGTTTTCATTTTCTCCGTTGAACACGTAACGGCATCTTTAAAATTATATGTAACGTCACATTTGTGGCCTGTTCAAAAACCTGGCTAAAGTGAATTAAAAAATCAAACTGTAATAAACTATCACATGCAATGCTGATGTCGAATATTCTATATGGATCCATAACAAGAGAATTGTTTGTAATAGTATAATTGGTATTACAAAGGAAACAGAAAACATTTTTGTAGGTAACTCCCTTTGATAATACAAACAAGTCAAAGTCATCCAATTCGCCCTCACATAGTCTCTTGATCTTTTGTTGGTTTATGATGTTTGCAGCATTAATTCGCCGCTCATAGCATACACTTATGACTTGTACTGTGGTTACTTCCTTATTAGAAATATAACTCAAAAAACTTTTGCATTACTGACACAACCAGTTGGATGAAGCAACGTTGTATCCAAGCAACAGCTACAGGGATTTTTGAATAAACACGCAAAAGAACAGTCACAGTTTCTTAAGGTAATGTTTTTTGTATTTTTTGGCAAGATAGTTCGGTCACAAATTCGATGTGGATGCAGCGGCCATTTCGAATAGAAAAGGTTCGAACTGATCTGTAATGTTTCCAGTTGAGTTGGCAGGATCTGTGGTTAGGTTCTCTGTCGGTTTCGCATTTATGATCTTGTTGATAAGTGATTTTTCATTGAATTCATTGTTGTAGAATTATAACCGTCGTCCTGTCAACATTATATCCCTGTCTTCAAAACTTTCATCCACATCACTAGAAAGGTGAGGAAAAACATATTTTTGGCCTCATCGTTTAGGTGAGGAAGATTTCCGGTGTCTTTGGATGTTGGAATGTTACAGGCAAAACAATAAAAATTTCGATATGGATATGTCAGATTTGACACCGGATTATCCTGACACAACTTTTGTATTGTTTTCGAAACTGATTTTGGACAAGTATTGATAAAATTCTGAACTCTTTTGATGCTTTTCAGTTTGCACAAGTAACAAAAGAAAAAGATCTCGTTCACATAGGTTTAAGAGCACGCCAAATGAAGGTCTTCATCACCGGGACAAATTTCTGTTATATATTCATCATCTCTTAAATAGAAAGGGATTAGGATATCATTGAGACTTGCTGGAGGGATAAACGAAACAAAGCTATTGTATTCTTTTATCAATCTTTCAAAAACATCATTAGAATCTACAAATTGTAAGAAACTTCCATCTGTCAAGAGATATATCCCATTCCAAAAGGTCTGACTTCTTTTCACCGTTACACAAGGCACAGTGGATATTGTAGTACGTGTAATTACTCACTAAGGAGGTCACGAACGCTCTGTCTTTAATAGTGTAAGCAGGGTTCTGGCATTTCTTAGATTTTCTGCAAAATCTGGACAAGTATCAACCACGTGATATTTGGGAGGTTCTAAATGTTTGTTCTTCAATGACCCTTGGAAAACTGCGTCACGGAATCTTGTCAATTTCCCTTCGAAAAATTTGTCTGGACAACATCTGTTTATTTGAATGCAGTCATCCTCACAAAAACATGGCGGACAACGTGACGGCATTGAATACTCGTACCCTGTTAATCCCGGCCAGTCTTTACAAAGGCCTCTCTCTCCGCAAGAATTGATATATATACCCATAAGTCTTGTAAAGTTTAGTTTTGCACATGTACAAAACATATGTGTGAAAATTGACATGTGTCATAAGGTACATAATGTCTTCAATGTTGTTGAGCAAACTGAAAGTTAGAATCATTGGTTTGTAATGAAAACTAGCATCTGCAGTATTTTATACTACTTCTACTCTAAATCCATTCATTACTTTCAAATGAAAGTACAATAAACAACAAACACACCATTTGGACATAGCAACTCTAGCTTTACATTGTGCAGTGTACATAACATATGCAAAATATGAAAATCAATTTGTATATACAAGTTGATGTTGGATTGAATCAATCATGATAAAATTTAAACTTTTTCGTGCTCTACGTGTCGTCCTAAAGTGGTATTTAAACCACTATTCACCTCTTATATAGCCTTGCTAACGAGACCGGTTCTAAAGAACCACGTGATATACACCAGGTATTCGAATGAAAACCTTGTAATTCCGAAAAAGTAATTCATTATCACACCAAGTAGAAATTGATTTCTGTCTAATTCGTTCCTCAAACGATAGAAATCATATATATCTTTAGTATTTGATGAAATTGTTCACAAAATCAAAATGAATCATTTGTTTCATGTCACCGACACGCGTAGATTTTATATAAATAATTGCCCTTTTGAACAAAATACTGATTAAACTAAATTATTTTATTTACATTAAAAATTTGTCTCTTAGATACTTTGAAAAAATATTCTGTCAAGAACTGAAACACTTACCAATCAAAGAAAATACAAGTTTTGTTAAATCCCATACAAATGTCTATCAAAAATAACAAACTACTTTAAATAGTATTAATTGAGACAAAAACATTTTCACTGTATGCGAAGAAAAGTATCAGTTACAGTCTAGCATATTCAGAGAATGTCTAACATATGATTGTAAATATTAAAGTGCTTAAAATCGATTTATTTCTACTTCCTTCAGATTAATTCAACTCAATTGTTAACCCTGTATTATTAATTTTTGCCAAATGTCAACATGGCCAAAAAATATTTTTACAATTGCTCTAAAACTATGTGAGGTATAAAGTTAAAACTGTCACAGATTATAATTGTATCGTTGATTAACAGATAAAGAATAAATTGATAACAAATACCTAAAAAATATTCATCGAGAAAAAAAAAACATTTAAAAAAAATAATAAATTCCGTACTTTAGAAAGTATCACTTGAATACAAATATTTTTTTTTTATTGTTCTAGAGCTATTGTATAAATAAATGCTTGATCCTCTTAACCTTTGGCAAAACCTTAATTTACATAATTGAACATTTGACCTCGGAACATTGCGTCTATACCTAATCAGTACAAAACGAACATTGGGTTTAACCCACATGGAGATATTGTGTTTATTCAGCTCATTTACATATCGGCCATTAGAGCTGTAATGGCTAAAGATTCTATTGAGGTTTATATTGAGAACGTACATCGCAAAATTTTATATACCAACAATTCTTCCACTGATCTTTAACGTAAATATGAAATCTGTCAATTAGTTTCGAAGTGTTTGAGAAAAATAGAAGTATATGCTAGCTGGACAAATGACCAACAGAAAGCTTAACTATTGCTATCTTCCGTGGGATATTTGCTTTTCGTAAATACATCTTACATATACCGAAAAAAACACGTGACCCACATCACTTCTGACTCCGAAGCGGTGAAAATCGGCTCCCCCATACGCTGAAATCGACTCCCCCATACGTTTTAGCGACTCCTCCGCGTTACCCGTTGTATACGGTGGTTTACATCAACTAAACTTTTTTGGGAGGCTCACTTTTTGTTTTCTTCACTCTTTATACTTAAATTTGACACTTTAATACCTTGATTTTCTATGATGCTTTTCTATACCACACTTGTTGTTTCGGCCCGGTTTTTTCGCCCCTTACTCACAGATAGGCAAATTAATAACGGAAAATTCAAACAACAAACTGTAAATATAACTGGGCAAATTTGAAACTTGGCAAAATTGTCTGCACGTATCAAAAGGCAAAACAACTCTTTATATATTTATTTTACATTTTGAATATCTATCATGATTTACTTTCGCACTTTGATGTAAAAAGACGTTAGATGTATTATATTTTTATTATAATGATATTTATAAAAGATATATGCTTTTAATTTTTTTTTTAATTTATGTCTTATTTTGATGCAGTTTTATGTTATCAATAAACTCTAAAAATGGATTTGGAATGATTTTTATTTTTTTTTTTTTAATATTTGATGTTGAAACTTCTAATACGTATTAATATTTTGTAGACACTAGCTATGGTTTACAAGGAGACATGATTCTGTTTGTAAATGAAACCTTACAACGGTTTCTTATTCTTCGATAGCCAAATCAGTAATAGTACATAAATTCTTCCATCGATTTGGAAATATCTTGTCATAAACATAAAAATATCACCATCACCAAATAATCTATAAAAAAAACCCATCGGTGATTTGTGAAGAGCACGAATTGTATTTATAATTTGTAATAATATATACTTTATAAAATTCTTCTTCGACAATGTTTCTTCAATATTAACTTGTTATCAACACCATGTGATCTAGATGACTTTACAACTTAATTTTAAGAAACAAATTCCACACTTTGTCTGACATTTTTCTAATCTTTAATTATGGTGATATTCACAGATGATCACAATCTTCAGACATCAATAGGTGGGTCACCATCGCAATGTTGTACTCTTATCTGCAATAATATAACAAAAATCTTTTTTTTTTTATAATTTCGAATTATGCAATTTCTATATAACTTTTTAAAATGACATCGATTTTCAGATAAGTTCAATTAAATTCACATAGATTTCCAAATTGACATCATCTCATTCAACAAACACTAGATACTGATACCAGATTGAATAAAAACATAAACTTCAAACAAAAGAACGCAACAATTAAAAAATCTTATAAAATTGATGGTAGGATGATGAATTATTAAAAAGTTGGATTTTCATAATTTATTCATTATCTTAATTTAATTCAAACCTCATCTATAAATCCTTTAAAATTGTCAAATAAACCCCCAGCACCAATGACAAGCCCCGTCTGTCTCAAAAGAACCATTTCTGAAATAGATAAACAATTAGTCGATCAGTCGATAGAGCGTTCGCTCGGACGGTCATGAGTTTGAATCTAAGTCGATAAAAAATTGATAGCAAATGTTCCTTCGCCATGCACTCGGCACTTTGAAGTGAAAGTTGCGGGTCTTTCGGATGAGACCTTAAAAACCAAGGTCCTGTAATTCGGCAGGTGTTGTTACAATAAAGATGCCTCACTTCTCAATGACCGCAGTTGCCGAATTATTGTCAAATTTGAAGCCCTTCACTGGTATATTCTGATATTTCTATATGAGTGAACAATTCTCGAATGAGACTGAAAACGATACAATCATCAACTTATCTTAAAAAGACTTACCTTGAATATACTGCTTTCTGTTCTCTTTATTGAGGGAGAAGTTAATTACTGTCCCTTCACGATCAAAGCTCAACTTAACTTCATTTAATGTATCGTCCTACAGTAAATACCAAAACAGAGAAAGACATTGAAGACTATTTTAAGGTCACCTGAGTAAACTCAGGTGACCTATTGCTATCCGTTTTTGTCCGTCGTCGTGCGTCGTTCGTGGTGTGTTAACATTTGAACATTTTCAGCTTCTTCTCTGCATCCATTCAACTCAACCAATTTCCACCAAATTTGGCATAAAGCATCTATGGGTAAAGGGGAACAAGAATTGTGAATTTCATAGTCCCTGCCCCCCTGGGGCCTGAGGGGCGGGATGAAAAGCACCAAAATTAATGCAATCTTTAAAAATCTTCTTTACTCCTGGACATCAAGCAGTCAAATTGTTAGCATGAATGTAATAACCATTGAGTCCTCTACCAAAATTGTGAAATTCATGGCCTAGGGTCAGGAGGGGTTCTAGTGCTAAGGCGGGGCCATATAGATTATATAGTGAAAATGCATTATTTCTTAAAAATCTTCTTCTCTGCTCCTGTATATTAAATAAACTAACACAGTACATATTCATGATGAGAAAGAATGCCTTGTGCAAAATTGTGAATTTCGTGCATGGCCCTAGGGTCAGGGGTTCTGGGGCTAGGGTGGGGCTCTATTGATTATTTAGTGAAAATGCATTATTTCTTTAAAAATCTTCTTTTCTGCTCCTAGGTATTAACTTTGTGCATAGTTATGATGAGCAAGAATGCCTCTACCAAAATTGTGAATTTTATGGCCCCGGGGTCGGTCAGGGGCTCCAGTGTTAGGGCGGGGCTCTATTGATTATATAGAGAAAATGCAGAAATTATTTTAAAATCTTCTGCTCTGCTCCTGGGTATTAAAAGAATAAATTTTGTATATATTTATAATGAGCAAGAATGCTTCCTTCATAATTGTGAATTTTATGGCCCCAGGGGTCAGGGGTTCTTGTGCTAGGGCGGGGCTCTATTGCTTATATAGTGAAAATACATTATATTTTTGAAAAGCTTCTCTGCTCCTGAGTATTAAATAAACTAAGTATATAGTTATGATGAGCAAGAATGCCTCTTCCAAAATTATGAATTTTTATGGTCCCAAGGGTTAGGGGTTCTGATGTTAGGGCAGGGCTCTATTGATTATATAGTGAAAATAGATTATTTCTTTTAAAATCTTCTTCTCTGTTCCTGGGTCTTAGATAAACTAACTTAGTACATAGTTATGATGTGGAAGAATACCTTTGTGAATTTTATGACCCCAGGGTCAGGGGCTCTGTTGTTAGGGCGGGGCTCTGTTGGTTATATAGAGAAAATGCAGAAATTGTTTGAAAATATTCTTTTCTGCTCCTGGGTATTAAGCAGATGAACTACCTATATAGCTATAATGAGCAAGGGCCATTCTTCCTGAATTATGAATTTCAACGCCCCTGGGTCAGGGGTTACATGGGAGGGGGACTCTACTTATATACTGGAAATGAGTAAATTGATTGAAATCTTCTCCTTTTTATTAACCAAATATTTTTGATAAGCAAGGGTGCCTTTTCCAAAATTGTGAATTGTGTGGACCAATAGTCAGGGGTTCATATATGGTAGTGGCACTATACTGATTATTGCTGAATATTACTGAGAGGTCGAAATGCATTTTTTGTTCCCCTATTTTGTCTATGGGTATTAAGTAACCAAACTAAACATGCAAAGTGTATACATGTAGTTATGATTAGCAATAGTGCCTCTTTAAAAATTGTAAATGTCATGACATCTAGTTTAAAACATGAACCAAAGTCAATCTTTGTAAAGTTGTTGCATGATGCTCAGGTGACCTATGAGGCCTATGGGCCTCTTTGGGTCTCTTGTTGACAATATTGTTAAAATTATTTGAAAAAAAAAAAAACACAGGGGAAATAGCATTTATCTCAGAACGAAACTGTAGTGCAACTTTAACTAATTAACTGAAAGATGACTGAATGTCAACTGAAATATGACTGAATGCTTTAAAGCTCGCTCTGCCAATCAGTGACATTTCCAGCTAGATCTATCAGTTACCATTAAGTGAACTGAATGTTTAAGGTTTACTAGTATCTTGTGGTGTCCTAAGTTTTTACTTGATATTTTGTTGGGTGCCACCATATATATGTGCCAGTGCCTGCAGTTTGTGTTTGAACCCCTATCACGTGGTTTATCCTGTCCAAAACAATGGCGACACTTGCTGTGCACGATTTGTAGTAGCAGTTAGAGAGAAGGGCCTGGTACTTCGTCTGTGTTTGTGGATTGTCAGACTGCAGGGCAAGGAACTTAATCGAAATCACTAGACTTCTGCAATATGGATTTAAAAAATCTGCTTTAGATGTAATTTATTATAGAGATATCGAACAGTAATCAAGCACAAAACTCCACTGAAGCGGTACAAATCGGGAGCAGAGCGAAGAAAAACATTAAAACATGAAAGAATGGATCAGGTGCCATTTAAGACTAAGCCTCCCCTGTAATCCGTTACACCTGAAGGGAGTTATATGTCATCGTGATATGTAATTTATTTTGAAGTGGTGAAAAGTTTTCCTGCATTGTCGTTAAAATCAAATGTAACATATACATTATCTGTACAATATATTTTCACTCATTGAGCATCTAAATTTATGTACTGAATGTACCTTTCACCTTTCAATACGATGTCCTCAAATTTCGAATGTATAAAGCGATATTTTTTTTTATTTTTCAGCATTATTATGTCAATATATCTATCAAAAATGCTATTGGATAATCATCACAAAATGACATCATACCTCCCCAAAGAGTGACTTACTCCTTAAGGTCATGACTTTTCAAAATTGTTTTTTTTTGCCATAACCCCTCCCACACCTCCTACTCCTTAAGGATCATGACTTCCCTTACTACTTTTCGGCCTACTACTTTGTACCATGACTCCTCTAAAAGTGGGTACCCCTTAAAAGTTCCCTACTCCTTAAAATCAGATGAACTTTCGATAGTTAATTCAATCGCGATGAGCTACTTTATTATTGTATAGGACATATTATCAAACCTATACTCAATGTTGGAGAAACGCCAAATATTCAGACAGCTGGAAACCCCGTCCAATTCCATCATGCCATCGTCTCTGCCGGAAATAACAACATTACGCTGCGCAACGTGGATATTGCGACTCGAGTAGTCTTTAAAGCCGTCAATGTTTCCATCCTCTCCTTTGTTAAATTTCAGATAAAGTTCGTCTCGACAATCTGATGGCCAACATTGCAAAATAAAAAACAAACATTTTGGAAAAAAAAGTCCCCCCAAATAATTTATAAAGTAAATGAATAATTGTAATGTATATTAAAATTTCGAAAGCTTCTTTCTATTTGTAATCTTGTAGACATTTTGTTTAAGTTTCGAAAAATCCAAAATAAAAAGAATATCACACAAGTTTAAAATAATCAGTGCATATCATTAGAAAACGTACAATTGGTACTGACGCTCGGACTCACAGATGTAGCTAATATTGGATTTTGAGTGTTGTGTTGTGTGCAGGCGCACGCTGAATGGTCAAAAAAGGATCCTGGTGCGCATGGGCGTGAAATATTTCGGTTGTGCACTTCCTCCAAGTATGATTGGCCATCATGTGGATCAACCCATTTTCTACAATCTAGATATACATGTATAATGATCACTGTTTGTGACAAAAAAAATCCTCAATAAGACCTTTGTGGATTGTTGAGAGTTTTATAACACTTCACGTACGAATATATAAAACTACGTACTAGTACGAGAGGATATTTAAATTGTGAAACATGTACCTCTATTTGTTAAAGTATTTTGTTTAGGTGGGCATGGTTCGCCACACGTTGAATCTAGCACACAGCCTTGAGCGGGTTGGAATCTGTATCCCAGAGTACAACAGACAGGAAGTGACGTTTTATTCAAACATGTCCAGAATCCAGAACAAAGTCCATCCATTTTGTACACGTATCCAGCCGAAAATTTTCTACAAGGGTCTATAAAAAAAACAATGTCATCGATTCCTAATTCCAAAAATGGAAATTCAGTTTTGATCAATATAAATTGCACATACCATTGTAACATTCAGCGTGAGTAGAATTAATGCATGACAGACTTCGTTCGTCCCAGAAAAGCCCAAACGAACACGACTTGACATATGTCACTGCCGCTCCGCTCACACCTGGGACAACTTCAATGTATTTTGTACAGTCTGTTGAGTGTACTTGAAAATATCTGGACTCATCCACGTAACCTTCAGGTAAAGAACAAAATTATTTAAATCATTTGCATGTTAAATCTGATCCAAATTCAATTCAGGGTGAATAGTTGTGATTTCTCAAGAGTCCGTCGACTATGTTAACAAAAGAGACTTTAAAGTATGTAGCTAAATAAATAGAAAGCGACTCCAATATGTTTGGATTTTAACACCCGGTGATGTAAAGACATTCGAAGTGGTTTTCAAGCTTGTCAAAAAAGCCACAGAAGACGCAATCAATTACATGTCAGCCACCTCTTTTAAGTACGACGACTATAAACTGAAAACTCCTTTAATCCACAAAGAATGTCAAATACCTAATTTTAATGTAAATGGTTACATGTAACTCTACGTCTAAGATTTCAAATCCAGAAATTCAATTTAAAAATTCATCGTCTCATTATATGTCTAGTTGGCACAATGATTAGAGCGTCGTTCTAGTGCTGCTGAATAAAGAGTTGATCCTTGCGTCGCAGGTTCGAATCTTGCTGCAGGACATGTAGTAATCGAGGTCCCATAATGACTGCCGAGCATTGGTTTAAAGAAACACGCACGCTAACTCTCGATTCCCCCTACATTTTGGAATCATTTAATTCAATATGAATAGCAATTTGGCCATAAAATCTTTGTTTGATACAAAGAACAGCTCAATGGTAATTGATAAATCGTCTTAATACCAGCGCTAAACAGTAAATTATCCATAATTCCAGCTCTTGAAAAAAGGGGGGTAGATGATATTTTCCATTGAAATCTGAGTTTCAAGCATCACCGTATTTTGAAATAGTCTTGGATATGATTTAATGTTCCTTATATCTTTTCTTTTGTTTTAGGCAAATAAATAAAACATAAATATTTCAATAAAATATAATGTTTCAGTTGTATATCGCTTTGAAATTGGTGAAAAATAAGCATTTTTATTATATGATTGAATAATTTCCATCTCTCTGATTGGCTGAGATCCAACTATGTTAGAAAAATATTACGTTGTATTGACCTGCACGTGACGTTCCAGGTCAATACAAGAATTTATTTCCTCTACATTGATTTAAAAATAGATTCGGAAATTCCAAATTGATACAAACTGTTTTAAAAAGATATTTAAACGACTATGATTTTATTTTCATGTGAACAAAACATAAGCGAAAATATATTTAAGGTGAGGGTGGTTAGAGGGGATGCAGGGACCCCCTCCCCCCCCCCCCCTCCAACACTTTTACTGAACAACAATTTTTTTCTTTACTTTTTGGCAGTCAGTTTTCCCTGCTAATACTCCTTCCTTTCAAAATCTATCCTATAAAAAGACTGACATTATATATTTCTTTCATGGCAACTAAAATTGATTTATAAAAACATTTCAAATTGATAAAACTGGTAAGGTTTATTAACATTTAATTCTGCTACTCTCTTGTATTTGGCTAGGACTTAATAAAATGCAAACAAGTAATGAGCTGTATCATTTTATCAGTGAATCATATAATAAAACAATTATTGCTATTTTTTCGGTCAACACAATGATTTAATCTTCGAAGTACAATTTCACCTCGCCCTTCGGGACTTGAATATTGTACTCCTCAGATGGCTAAATCATTGTATTGACCTCAAAAACCAGCAATAATTGTATATTATCGTTTTTTGTCAATAAACATATGTTCCCCCCCGTGTCACACAAAAAGCTTTAGTATGAATTTGTGAAATACCATTTCATATTACCTGTAAAAAGGAATTTTTGTGACACAGGGGGGAAAGATGTTTTAAAAATATTTTCCGTTTTCCATTGTTTTCTATAGTGAAAAACACAAGTTTTGCCAACATTTTAGAGTTATCTCTCTTTCTTTTCCCAAATAAGTAATGTTTTATGAAAATTTATATAATTATTTATAAAAAATATCAAAAATTCATCGAATATGTTAACTTTTGAAAATTGACTTGGAGGTAGGCGGGAGAACAATACTATCGTTCGCAGTTCTTTGCATCCCTTCACAGACTAGTTGTATCCTATGCCTCCAATTGAGTGAAAAACTTTCGAAAGAGACGTTAACCATATAACGGCCATCTTATATATGATACAAGTGATTTTTCAATCAAAAAATCTGATGTTAATTCTAATTCTCTATCCTATCAGGTACTGAAAAACATTAAAACGAAACAAAAAACTGTATTTGTAAGAATCAAAAAAGGTATGTGTCAGAAGGGGATTCGAAAAGCTTAAATATATTTGTTATCTTGCAATTGTTTTCTTTTTATTCGTCGTGATTTTTCTGTTTGTGCATTCTGATTGTGCATACGCATTGTGAAGATGCATTCTTACTTATGCTGGACGTTAGGACTGTAGTACTTGGTGTTGATGAAGGAGCTGCAACTACAGAAAGAAATTAATTTCACTGCAAAAAAAAATGAATTGTACTTATTCTAATAAAATATTTAAAAGGTGGCCTAATCAAAGTTCTTACTAGAACATATGGACAAGGACAAATTAACAGGAAGAGCATCGAAGTCGGACACGCGAAGAGCTTGATCTTTGCTGCTAGAAATATACTCCAATTCCGTTTGAAATGTTTTGTCGCCCTCGATTCCAACAGCAAACACTACAACCCCGGCCTGGTGAACACGTCTCGCTTCCTCTTTTGTTAAATATGGACTTACAGAGAGACCATCGGTAATCACAACTGCAATGTAAGGAACTTCCGGTCTGCCTCTTTCTCGAAACATGTCACGCATGCGTTTTAATGCTTTATGCGTTCCAGTCCCGACATTTGACATTGAGATATTGCTAATGAGAAAATTCAGTAATGATGGGTTATTGACTTGTCCAAGTTCGATAACTGTACCAATAAATGTAGAAAATTCTATTACACCTATGCGGACGTCTTTAAAGCCTATATTGAACTGATCGACGATGTCTGTAGTGAACTTTTTGACTTTGTTGAAATTTTGATGTGTAACACTCTCGGATCCATCTAAGACAAAAACAATGTCCATTGGGTGAGAACATTGTTTATTTTGGATGTCTGAAAATAAAACAACGGAGAATGAACACTTCTAAAATTAAAAAAAAAATAATTGCAATGTCAAAAACTAAGAAAAGGGTAAAAAATTCGGAACAAATAAACTACTAACCATTCCCGTGTGATACGGCCAGATGGCATACACAAACAAGCAGTCCGAAAACCGGACGCCAGGTCATCCTGTAATTGCTAACATTCATAAATTTTGAGGAAGAAAAGCAAAAAAAAAAAATATTAAATAAAAAAATAAATAAATGTAAAAAAAAGTTTTGATACAAACGGTGCTAACGATAAATCAATCGAAAAATTAAACGCTAAACAAAGGCAATCTCAAAGCGAAGCACTTATTTGCCTGTGTGTATATCTCGGAATCTTATTTTTATTTGAAAATTATAATAAGTATAGTCGTGTACTTATTTTAATTTTCAAATAAAAATCAGTAAACGACAGCAGTATCGACATAATACTTATAACGTCACTTACTTTTCGAACAAGAGGGCAAACTATAATCCTCTAACAAATGTAACTTCCAAATCTGTAATTATTTACATGTACTGATAACACGTGAATGACGCAAGATATTTACTGCATTTTTTCCCTTTTATGTAACAAAGCTGACTTTTTCTACAAGAAACTAAATAAAATTTACATGCATCGACTTTAAAAGGCATAAAATTCATATTTCTAGATTTGAGCAATTTTTTTCACCTCTAAATCAAGAGTAACCTAACTTCCCTTTTTTCGCAAACAAAATCAAAAAAGTTTAGGTCTTTCAAACTTGATGTAACTTCGCTTACTCAACTGCAAAAATTCTATCGAGATAAAATATAATATTATACTTTCATGTAAATTACTTGAATCTGATTCATCGAGAAACATTTGATAAAAAACACTAGTACTACTACCCGCTGAAAAATGAAGCCACGCCCTCCTGCGTAGAAACAGTCAACATTGCTTGACGACGGGTGGTAATACAAAAAATAGCGACTGCGCGGAATTTATGCAGCAAACGGTTCACTTAATATGTTTTTGTATAAAACATTCAGTATAATATAATAAATATTGCATTAATGTAACATTGAAAATTTTCACCCTTACGAAAATTGTAATCGGTTGCTTTACGGTTGTACAATCATTTTCTTGAGGTGAAATTTTTTGTTGTTACACTCAAATACATGCAATATATTCTTTCTGTACTTCTAGATTATTACATTAGATTGAATGTTAAAAAGTTTTGTACTGTTTAATTTTATTTATTTTTCATTTTTTTTTTAATCATAAAATTTAAATTATTAATTAATAGACACCTTATTATGAGCTGTAAATGCATTGAATTAAAATCATCAAATAATTTTACTGTAACAGAGGGAATTAATTTTATAACACTTTACAACATCTATTTATGACGGAGTTATAATTGGTAATAAAAATCCACATTTGTTTGGCTGCATTTCATTTCCGGATTTTTTGGTAATTATCAACTTTTCATTTACGACTTTTTTTAGTTTTCATTTCCGACATTTTTTTTTTTGTTTTAGGAATTAAAATTTTTTAAAATATGCACAAATTAAAGATGCTTTTAACTTCGTACATATATTTTTATAAATTTAGAAAGATAAAAATCATAATATCTAAGTCATGCCAAAATAGAAAAAATTTTGACCTATATATTCTCTACCTGTCATTGACATTTAAAGTGCCGAATATATAAATGTTTTCACCCCATTTTCAATACTTTTATTGTGTAAAAGTTTTGCATGTCCAGATAATTACCTACATATATGCATATTTTGTACATGAAGCTTCACATTTTAATGTTTTTACTTTTAATTTTATGTTTTCATTTCAATAAAGTCACGTCATAATCAGATCTAAAATGCTATGAATTATAATCATATAGAAAACATTGAATTGCCGCACAGGTAAAATCCGGAAATGAAAAGAAAACAATGTCGGAAATGAAAAAAAAAAAATGTCGGAAATGAAAAAAAAAAATGTCGGAAATGCTATGCATATTTACGGAAATGAAATGCAGCGATTTGTTTACATCACACCGGATTAGACATTCAATTTTTGTTAATGAAAGTGTTAGTAAAGAATCGAATGGTAATACGTCTTATGCCAAAACCCGTGAATAGCGCGGTAATAGAAATCTCTGATTTTTTGTACCAAACTGTTAAAATATTTCTTTTTCCTCTAAGTAAAAAAGTTAATTAACAAAGTCCATAAGTCATCAAAACATGAATATCTGTGTAAAATTCCTCTTTTTTAAATAACAGTTGAAACTCCCTATCCCAACAACTCTGTGTTAAACGTTTTATTGAAGACCAAATCCCTATTTTGAATAAGATTTTTCAGAGTACCTTTTCATTTTTGATATTTTTGATCAATGAACAGAAAAAAAAATCTTAAAACACATTTTTATTATTAGTTCTGGGGAGTGGAAAACTGGTCTAGTATTAGTTCTTGATTTCGTTTTAAAAAAAAACACCAAATAGACCCCTTTTGCAAATGACAACACTCTCCTTTCAAATATTTAAAATAAAAATAAATTATTTTTAAATAAAATATTGATACTTACATGTTTGAAGTATGCCCATTGAAGGAACTTCAAAAATCCTTACAGATTTGTCTGAGCGAAGTTAATGCGTGTAGATAGTTGTTTTATGTCCATTAGATCTATCTGAGCGTTCATAATTATTGAAATTTATCGTGTCCTTGACGTGTTATCAAGAACAGATTGCTGATTATAGACATAATAACCTTCCTGTATCTCAATAGAAATTAATTCTAGGGAATTAAATCGGCTGAGACATCAATTTGAAGTTTCTTTGAACAGAAAAAAAAATGAATTCGATTTAAAATTTACCTTTTTATTATTTTTGGAATGTAATAGTCCTTTGAATTATAATTTGCTTTTATTGAAGAATAACCAAAAAAAAAAAAAAAAAAAAATCTTGGTTCAATCGGCCAACTTCATTTATAATATATATAATATGCGTAGAAGCAAAATTATATTGTTTTGAATTTGTGTAGAAATTTGAACGCTACTGAATTTCAAATTTCCGTAAAAGTAATAGCTTCTATTGGTCGGGTTAATACATGATTATCACGTCCCCCGGGGGATATACATACCGGGGTTATCGACTCTGTTAATCTGGGTTCAAAACAATAAAATCAGGATTCAATGACCACGACGTTAATTATTTCCTGTAGATCAAATACGAAGTTATACCCTATAAAAGGAAATATAAATTTCTTATTGTATAGCAAGAAGATTTCTCTCAGAAATTTCTCCCATCTGCTGAACAGAATAAATTATCGCTTAAATGTACAACTGTCAATTATGTGTGTAAAGTGAAGTGAAAATATTTCGATATTTTCGTTCTATACCTAGGTCAAAGCTTGAACCATGTATTCCTCTTTTACAAATGAGTCTTCATTCATTAAACTGTATCAATTTATCCATTAAATATTTCCGCATAAATTCTTTTTACTTTATTTATTGTCTTGCATTTGATTATCGCTATAAACTTCGAAATTAAATAAACACAACTATTCATGATTAGGAAGCCAAGTTTAAAAGGCCTTTTATAATTGGGTTTACGAAATTTAAAGTTGGAATTACCAATTTTTAAGTTGACATTTCCAATTAAAAAATATCGTGGTACAAATACGTTTCCGTAGCCAGTTAAATAATTTAAATATAGATAGATATATAAATATATATATATATATGTGAATGTAGTCTCGTTTTCCCCAGACACTCGCTCTCGAGACTTTGCCAAAGTCTCGAGAGCGAGAGTCTGGGGTAAGCGAGACTAATGTGAATGATAATCTGTCCTAATATGAATTGGAGAAAAATTAACACATTCCGCTGGCGCAAAAGATTACCCCACGGTTCATTGGTCTTAAGAGGATTAAAGAAAATTAAATTGGAAAATACATTTATTATTGCATATCAATAAAAGTAAATAAAAAGTCACCAATTTGTTTTTAATTTTCATTTTGTTAAACAATACATAAACGTACATATACAACTGTACTATCTGACACAAAGCATGTAATATGAAAAATGATTCTATGTTGTTAACATGTTATACCGTATTTTTCTCTTTCATTGAAATAGAGATATGTCAAAAATGAAAGTTAACAATCTGCTTTAACATATTTATTTTAACAGAAACTGTTCATCCGGGAACTGTTACAGAACCGAAACCTGGGAGACTCTGATAAACAGCCGATCGGACGTATGAAATCGTCTGTATATCTGTCTTCATATCCAAACGTCAAAGAAAAATTGCACATTTCATCTTCATCGGCCATTCTAAAAAAAGAAACGCTAAGTTTGGTAATTTTTTTTCAATAGAGAAATATATATTATTTTCAATATGTAATAAAAATTTGACTTGATCATGACTTCAAAGCATAAGCCTTTTAATTATAGTTTTAGCTTGTTTTCCGTTTTAATGTTACATTTGTTCAAAATTTGATCTGTCTTACCCAAATTTGATAGGACGGGGTTTATTATTTATGTACAAACATCGGGCTGCCTAGAAAAGAATTTTTTTTCGATAAAATGCCGTAACGGTTTTTAATTGTATTATTTCAGACTGTTATATGCACATAGAAAATGCCATTGCATTGAATAGTAGTATACGGTTACATGTAGTCTTGTAACATATCGATTGTATGCTGATTAACTCTCGAGAATATATGGAGACACCTTGTAACATATTGAACGGTTACAATAAATAATTTTAAGACAAGATGCAAATTTAACAATTTGATAACATACTATGATGAAAATTTTGCATCAACCTAGTAAAATTGAAAATTACTTCATGATACAAAAATTCAAGATAAATTACTCCCTTAATTCATATTAAGATATATCAATACTTACCAGAATATCACCAGGCTGTATTGAAACTGGGCCACCAGGAACATTTTGGAAATGCTAAAATGTAATGAAATTTCTTTTAAAAAGAAACACATGGATAAAGATATTTTTTTTCGAATTAGTTGTCTATTTTTCATGAGACATAATAAAATAAAATATTTTCTTTTCAAAAAGTTTTGTTGTAATCAATATGTGTATACATAAAGCTATGAGAAGCTGTTACCTTTTCCTCCCCGTTTTTGAGCTGACTCCCTAAGACGGTCCAGGTACCATTTCTCACGAGAAACCCCTCTACTAAGACCCCTATAGAGTAAACAATAGCCCGGTTATACTTCATTAAGTCATGTTACAATTAATACAGTATGAATCTAGTATGATATAGAGCTGATAACTGAAGGTAAGGTATTGGGTATTACCATGTCCGTGTGTATGTGTTGTAAATGTGTAGAGTAGAACAGGAGGCTTCGACCATTGACAAGCAGATTCGGCAAAGAAACCTGAAGAACACAATCAAAATATGCTGTCATTAAATATTTTATTTTTATGTGAGTTTGTTTTACTATAATTTCATTTACAAACTTTTAAGGCTCCCTTAGATTGGTTAAGTGACATTAACAATATAAACTGTGAATGTAGGTAACGTTACCTTTCTTTTTCAGTTTTGGAATATAACCTTCATTGATGAAGGAGTAAGTTTGGTAATTAAGCGTTGATCTGAAAGAGAAACAGTGGTGATTACATGATGTGGACAGATTGTTTGCAATTAAAATTAAATGTAAATGTAATATGATTAATCATCTACAAAATCAAAAGAAAATGTAACGTTATAATCAGGGGTAAAAATAAAAGATCAGCAAGATTCGTGAGAAAGACAGTTTAAAAGCTGGTAGTTTAAACAGATTTTATTTTCACAAATTAAGGTTTATTATTCCCAAGTTTTAGCTTAAAAAAAATACCTATCAGTATTTAATTGAACAGTGATATTTGCAATAGCGCTTGTGGCATCTGAAAAAAAAAATATTAAGAAAGATTTATACATTGTTAAACGATTTATGATGAAATTCTACAATGAAAATTAAAGTCACTGTACCATATATTGTTTCAAGAGATGCGTTTTACATGGTATCACATGGTTATTTTCAACTTAAATTCAGGAACTAAGAGAAGATACTTAGAATAACCTTAAGACAAAATTTCAATCTTGTATCTTTTTTTATCCTATTCGCCGATTTGATTTTTTAAAAAGTACAAGATTTTATCAATAAATTAATACATATGCATGCTTATTTTTCGCTCTATTTTTGCAATAATTTCAAAAACGAAATCCATTTGAAAATTTGGTTTCTAGGGTCCATTTCTAAAATTAGAACTCCTTGACAGAAATGTTACAATGCACTTTGAAAAATTACGCACTTTGAAAATATTTTTCAAAATGCGTTAAATTTGGGACCAAATCAACGCACTTTGAAAAAATAAAATTTCTTTTCAAAGTGCGTTGATATCGATCATATTAACACACTTTGAAAAAATGTGTATGGTTTGGTCAATATTCTTCAAAAGCTTAGGTATAATAAATCATTAAACCCATTGGATAACTTTTCGGTGATAAGGACACCTCATCAAAGATCATGATGTGAAAGTGAGCGGTTTTGTTTTTTTCATACTTTGTAAATTCTTTATCTCTTAAACGTATTAATGTATTTAATTTCCAGTTTGCATGCATTTAATGTAAACTTAAATTTATTGAAAGTTATCAACGTCACACCAGTTAAGCAAATACATATATTTGGGTGTAGCATAGGCATCAGTACCGTGATGGGTGTTAGTCACACAAATGTTTTGCAAAGATATACATAATACTGGAATTAAAAATTGGGGCTTACATTGGGGAGGCGGATTCCACTTTCAATTTGCTACCTAAGTAAAAAAGAGTTGGTCTGAGAGACCTTCTATAAACTCATCTTCTACTTGTTCTCGATGAGAGTTAACCAATACATGTAAATTTAATTGTTTTCCGAAAGATATAATTATTACTAATTGATTCTCTCAATTTTATATATAAAATCTGAGTCTAGAATTTTTGTTTTATACATGTTTTTTCAAAGTGCATTAAATGTCCACATGGTAAATATCATGATGCTCACTCTTAAAGCACTTTGGAAATTTTTTTAAAAGTGCGTTGCGTATGTCCCAAACTAAATGCCACACAGAAAACATGTTTTACTTGAATTGTTACGATGAACATAACAATCATGAAAGTTTTTTTTCCCTAAAAAACAAGGACTGTTTGAAGATTCAAAAAAAGTTTACGCTTCAGGAAAAATCCCCAAAAATGATGCTAGTGTGAAAATCTTATGATAGAAATATCGAATTCACATTCATCTTTAGTTGCCTGTTCAATCTAAAGACTTAATGGAGAGAGGAAACACTTACTTCGTATGGAATGTTTAAAATGAACCTGTGTCACAATATACTGCATCGGAGTGTACTTTCCAACACGAACAGACAGACCTTCAAATAATCATTCCTCACTCTTAAACAGTACTTTATTATAAAATTTCCTGATAAATATTATTATTTTCAGTTTAAGTGTGGTTTTGCATTACGTCACAATCTTTTTCGTCAGAATTAACCAGCGTAAACAATTCAGGTGATTGGTCTTCTCAAATTATCAACATTGACATGTAAATTGTCTGTTACACGAGCAACTAATCAGGAATTAAAAGAAAGTGCCAGTCGTAAAGCTTGCCAGTAGGAAGCGTGTACTATTTACCTTAAACACAGCAGTAGAATTAAATTGTGACGTAACTGCAATTTATAGTATTTAAAAGAATTCAAAGAAAAACGTCTTAAGATGTAAATTGTTTAAAAATATGAATACAGGTAGTTCTAGAGAATTCAACAAAATTATACGGAAGGAGAATACGTAAAATTAGGTGACTTTCATTTTTGTCTTCACTGTGTTTTATTACCTTTAGGGAGGTTGTATTTCCCGCTGTGTTTATTTCGAGCTTCCCATCCCCCGAGATTTACCGCGTTTCCCTGACAAACCTTTCCTTGGGCTGCCGCACAGTCCCTACAACATGTTCTTATAGAGTTAAAAAATGTATTTGTTTATTTTGTCTTGTAAAGAATAAAAATACACTTTTATATCGTATGTGAAACATATAAAGAATTCTTATTCATATATTGTACATTGTAATAGAAATTCTAGGGAAAAAATAAAAATCTTTGGTTGTCTGCACTTACCATACATGTTGATCGGAAGATGGCGCTTTGCACACGGATAAAGATACATGATGTGCGTTTTCTTTGTCAACGTGTAATTCTATACCGTCTGAAAAGAATGGGAAAATGCTGTATGCATTTGCTGTACCAATAAAACATCTGAATTTTTCCACAAATGTTTCTCATTTTTTCATATATGGAACACATATATCATATTTGTCAATTCTTCTACGCCGTTTCAAAGAAATAATAAAAAAAAACATTTACTATGACCTACCAACATTAATATCGTCAAATTCATCGAGCTTTCTTGCAAAACACAGGTACTGGTCAGCCTGAAATAAAGCGAAACAAGATGTGTTTGTGAAACAATATGCGAACAGCGGCAACAAAGTTCGAAAAAAGCTATTTTTATCTTATAGGTCACAGTCAATTAGGGACTCTAGGTAATTGTCATTGATGTCATTTAAAAGAACTTAATTAGTGTAGTAAGCATACTTAATATTAAGTCTCTTATCTCATACGGTTCAAAAGTTATGGCGAAGGTTCAAAGAGACTATTTTTAGCTTATAAGTTACAGTCAAGGTCACAGTCATTGACCTTGGTGCCATTTGAAACAACTCAATTAGTGAGTTTGTCTACCAAATATGAAATAGACCTTGGTGTCATTTGAAAAAGCTTAATTATTGACGTATGTATATCACATGAAAAGTCTTTATCTTTCTTGGTTTAAAAGTTAGGGTGAAGGTTAAAGTTGACGGAAAAACAGACATACAGACAGGACAAAAACAATATACACCCCCGATCTATCGATCCGTTTGCATAATAATATAACCATGGAGAATTTTTCAAAAGAGTACCAGTGTATTGCATGAGGAACATCTCGATTGCTAGATGCAATAAATAAAAACCTATTCATGTATTCAATACGTTAAGTCTATGCGTTAAAAAATTAAAACTTGTTGTACAAATAGATTAAAAAACTATATAGTAATTGCCAGCTAGTTTCAAAAACGACCCCCATTTTACTGACCTTATTCGACTCAACAACTGGTAGCGAAAACCTAATTTCCAGTTTTCCCTGAACTTCATATAAAAACGTTAAAATCGTCAAGACATTAAAGGTACGACTTAGTTTAGCCATTCTAAAACAAAAGAAATTCCCATTTATGACGCTTATCTCATTGAAAGCACTTATAACACCTCCGCTGTGATTCTGTGATAGTAGAGATTACGCTCTTCACCTGCCCTCCTGAGAACAAGACAGTCAATTGTAAACAATAAATGACGGCTATTTTCAACAAAGAGAGTATCAAGTTCTTTATTCACCATTGTACTCACTAAACTTTAAGTTCAAGGACAGAATTTCAGGATTGCTCCTTACATATTCAGATGTAAAAGATTTTTTAAGACTTGAATGCTGTTCGTTTGTAAGTTAAACAATTATGAATAGGTTACATATGCATGTATCAAGAACGAAATCAATTACAAATATCTAGACTGGCTGGACTTTAGCTCACCCTTTTCGTTTTTCAACCTCTGAAACACTTAACGAGAAATATTTTGCGCATGGTATTAAAATTAATTCTTTCCACATATTCTAAAAATTTCCGCTCTTAATGAAAGATTATACAAACAATTTTTTTTTCTTTGGGGGGAGACTAAACATCATTTCACAGGTTTAGAAAAGAAGATAATTCTTCGATTTTTTCACTATAGACTTAGAAAATGAAATTGACTTGCAAAGATTACTTAATACATGTGCTTCAATAAAACATTAGATATGAACTAATTATAGAAAAATATACAAAGCCATGTAAATTTTGCGAAGAAAAGTAAAATGGTGAAAAATCAGATTTACCATTTTGCTTTTCCCAATAAAATTCACCTGACTTGGTGTATTTTTATTAAAGTTCATATTACACTTTTGGCACCAAGCTAGCATATTCTGAAATTTGTTTTCATCTGTAAACCTCTACTGAGTGTGATTTGTCCATATTTGTAATTTTACTGAAATATTAAATAATATTTTCTGTTTCATTTTCAAAGTCTAAGTTTAAAATACGAGTATTCAAAGAATTATCTACTTTTCTAAACCTTTGAGATGATATAGAGTCTCCCCCCCCCCCAAAAAAAAAAAAAAATTGTATCATCTGTCCTTAAATATTGCCTAGACATCATTAATTAAGTAATATTACCAGATGAACTTGTTGTAGAAGAAACAAGGAATTTAATGAAAGAGAGAAAAAAATAATTATTTGCTTATCTGCATAGGTTTCCGAAGTGTTGTAAGGAATATTTTAGCTTGTCAATGAGCGGAAAAAATTGAACAACCGTAATAAGCTGAAACAGCCAAATATAAAAGAACCTGTTTAATTTCATAGATATAATTAATGAACAGTTTTGTAAACTTATCTTAAGTGTTAACAAAAAATGTATTCCTTAATCATTTAAAACATGCAAAGAAAAATATTTTATTTCCTAGACCAAGTTCATTTGTTGTACCAGATGCATACTGTAAACAAGGTTATCTTCGCCTAACTTTATTTTTGCCCTTTCAAAACGTACTGTTCTCTACAAAAATTTGAATTTTTCAATTAAAATTTGTATATGACAATTTTGTCATATGCAAATTTTAATTAAAAAATTCAAATTTTTGTAGAGGACAGTACTAACAATTTTGCCCCGTTTGAAGTTTGCCCAGTCACAGTTCTGTATAAGAAATTATACAGTGTTCTTTAAATAAACCACGTTTTAAAATCGTCCTCTTGTGACGTGGGCGAAAGTGACGAAAATGTCACTGTATACAGTACACAAATGATGCTCATTATGAATTACACTAAAACAATTGTATAATCTAAATAAAATCTACATAAAATTAAACTTAGCAGAATATTTTTATTTTAATAAACATTTTAAAAGTGAATATTATTTCTATAAACATCTACATGTTTACATTTTAAGAACCCTGAAATTAAAAGTACAGATGGACTCTTTATCTGACCTTTCTGTTTTTGCTCTCCATTCCTAAAAGTACAGAAATGTAGACACGCAGATCTACGCCTTTCCTTATTAGATAAACATCAGAATGATTAAAATGACGCCATCGCAACTGGTGGTTCTCAAAACAAATATATAGTATATAAATGATGCAGTATTAGGAGATATTCAAACATTGTCTCTTTACATGTATACTTACTACACTGTCAAAATGATGTCTACTTTGATTGCTGTTCTTGTTCTTATTTCTTGCTCCCAAAGTGTGCATTCTTTAGAGTGTTTTGAAATTATATGAAATTTTTATTTTTTGAATTTCAATTTGTTTTCTGTCAATGTTTTATTTAACGCTGTTTATAACATGTAACTTAAAATGCAACATGAACATTTTATATTATGAATCCGATTAATATCAAATTATTTTTAGACTTTGAAAAGATAATGTTTAGTGGTATTGGTTGCTTCTATCAGACTTTCCGGATAACATTCATTTCTTTTATTCAGGTGCAGTTTTGAGAGGAATTGATTCATTTTCAGACGAAAATGTTGATGTAATTTCACCAGCAGGTAAGAAAATCCATTGAATGATTTTAAAAGAAAGACATCTCACTGAATTTTAGGAGATTTCTTAACTAAAATGATATACTTATTCTCAGGTGAGAAAAGAGGGTTGAATTCTTTTTCGGATGAAAATGTTGATGTAGCTTCGCCTCTGGGTAAGTATATTCATTAGTGTTTTATAATGTTTAATTGAAAAGATGTTGTATACCTGTAGAAAACCTTAATTATGCTTATCAATTCATGGTTCATAGTCTCTGTGTTCATTAAATTTTGTTTTACAGCTTCTTCTATTTTTTGAGGAAAAGAACTGAATTTTAAAAGTAAACTGTATACATTTTTATAGCATATCATGCGGAGTGAAAGTAGAAAACATGACATTTCACCTTGACAAGTTTAATTTATTAAGGATGCTACACATTTTCCTTATTAAGAGTTATGTTACTTTTATTAGATTATCGCATAACCGTATATATTATCTATTTTTAGGCGTGAAAAGGGGGGTGAATTCTTTTTCTGATGAAAATATTGATGTAGCTTCATCTTTTGGTAAGAATGCATTCCTTTAAATGCGTTTGTTAGAATTTTGAATTCTAACTACAAATTATTAGCGTAGCATATCTTATATCTTATAAACTCTTTAATATACATATTTTAAGAAGTAAAAAGAGGATTGAATACTTTTTCGGATGAGAACGTAGAATAGCTTCATCTGTTGCTAAGAAAAAAATCTTTTTTTTTGCTTATTTGCAAATATTCGTATTTCAACTTATAAATTAAGAGCGGAACATACTTTTTTTTAAATAACTGTAAATCAGTTTTATTGAATAAATTTTATTATGTGTAGATACATGTACACGTAATATAGAATCATTTCGTTAAGTTTGATTGGCTAATAATTTGACAAATAACAAATATGGGTATCGCCACTTAAAATAAGTTATTGCAAAAATAAAATGATCAGCATTGTTAAAAATATATATTTTTTTTCAGTGAAAAGGGGAGTCAACTCTTTTTCGGATGAAAATGTGGACTTAGTTTCACAAGTTGGTAAGTAAACATATAAATATTTAGAAAATGCACAACTTATTATTCATTATTAAGGGATGCCTTAATAAAATTTGATATATTTGTGGGGTTGAAAAGGGGAATGAACTCTTTTTCGGATAAAAATGTTGATGTGGTTTCATCAGTGGGTAAGAAAAAAAAAAAGATATTTATATTTGCAAGAATCTGGATTTCTAATAGCAACAAGTACTTTTTTTTATAATTGTAAAACACTTTTATGCTGGAGAACTTTATTTATTCGTATTTACGGGAGACAGTCTTTCATTTTTGTTCAAACTTCTATTCATGATAATGTAGAGTACTAAGTATAAACAGTGAAAATGTTGACTGCATTTTAAACCCCAAAAATTTATCTCGCAATTTAAAGGGATCGCAATAATAAACGATCTAATTTGCTTAAGATAATGTTGTTCTTTTCATCAAAAAGAGTATCAGCTTGGGTGTAATTTGATGTAGTTTATTCATTACAAACAGTCTCCGTCAAGGATCTTTCCTTTTCACAATTAATTAAGTGTTTTTTCGGATGAGAATATAGATGTAGTTTCACAAACGAAAGTTGGACTGGAAAAAATGAATGTCGAGGGATGTGTATATAAGAATTCAAAGTTCAAAGTAAAAATTGAGGGGTATATGTTTTTTATATAATAATTGTAAATCGCGTTCATTCGCGAGAACTTTACATGTACTTTGACGTGAACCGCCTGCTTGCGAAAATTTGTTCTTTCGAAAAATTCTACTTCATATGAAAACTTAGTTTGTGAAATTTTGATAACAAATATCAATTTCACTAATAAAAATAATGTATTGATCACAAAAATAAAATGATTATATTTCAAAACAATATAATTCTTTCAGTGAAAAGAGGACTGAATTCTTTTTCGGATGAAAATTTGGATGTAGCTTCATCAGCCGCTAAGAATAACAATGAATGTTTTTTGACAAAATATAGAGATAATGAAAAGTATTCAAACTCATAAGTTCATTAATACAACAATTATTAGGAGCAGGGCAAAAAAAAAAACGATCTTCTTAATCAAAAAGGTGGGATCAGGTGCCTTTATTGGTATCGATATTGTAAAACTATTAAATATTAGGATTTCACCTACCCGTTTAGAGTTCATTATCTCTAAGTTCACTTATACACTGTATAAAAATAATGATTTAAAGCTTTTGATTTTTTTTTGAAAAAAATATATATTAAAGGTAAATTGTGAACAATTCTTAACATAGCTTGCGGCATAAAACTGGAGAAACATGCCATTTCACATTGACAATTTTATAAAGGAATAAAACACATTTATTTAAGTTCTCTTCTGAATAACTTTCCACCCTAACACTGATATATTTTCAGGAGTGAAAAGAGGACTGAAATCTTTTTCGGATGAAAATGTTGATGTAGCATCACATGCTGGTGAGAAATATTAAAAGTTTTTAAAATGAAGACATCTAAATGATTATAAGGGGATTCTTAACTTAAATTTAATATATATTTTATCAGGATTGAAAAGGGGAGTGAACTCTTTTTCTGATGAAAATGTCGATGTAGCCTCACCTCTTGGTAAGAAAGCCTTTGGCTGTATATGTTTGACTATGGAATTCTCACTACAACTGAATAGCGGAGCATACTTTCTTTTTTTAAAAGTTATATTATTTACACTGTAAAATCTGCTATATTTTCAGGAGTTAAAAGGGGAGTGAATTCCTTTTCGGATGAAAATGTTGATATAGCTTCATCAGTTGGTAAGCAAAATGGAAGCTTGACTTTATTAAGAGTTATATCACTTTTATTAGATAATCGCATAACCTTAAAAATTATCTATTTTTAGGCGTGAAAGGAGAAGTTAACTCTTTCTCTGATGAAAATATTGATGTAGCTTCATCTCTTGCTAAGAATGCATTCCTTCAAATGCGTATTTTATAATGTTGAATTCTAACCACATTTAATAGCGAAGCATATCTAGATCTTATGTTATGTATAACTGTAAATCAGTTTTATTGAATAAATGTTATTAAATGCAGATATATAGAATCATTTCGTTAAGTTTGATTCGCTCAAAATTGTGATTAACAAATATGGATCTCGCCACTTAAAATAAGGTATTGCAAAAATAAAATGATCTACATTGTTAAAAATATATATCATTTCAGTGAAAAGGGGAGTGAACTCTTTTTCGGATGAAAATGTAGACCTAGTTTCACAAGTTGGTAAGTAAACATATAAATATTTAGATAATGCATACTTATTATTCATTATTAAAGGATGCCTTAATAAAATTCGATATATTTGTAGGGTTGAAAAGGGGACTGAATTCTTTTTCGGATGAAAATGTTGATGTGGCTTCATCAGTGGGTAAGAAAAAAAAGATATTTAAATATGCAAGAATGTGGATTTCTTTAAAACAGTCTAATTCATGCGAATTTCTTTTTCATCTGCTCATTATATAAAAAAAGTTTAACGTATTAGGATGTGTACATGAATTCTTTTATTTTTTGAGTTCAAATTACAAATACAGGAGCATATTTTAAAAAATGTTTCTCGAAATATTATTTCACAGTAAAAAGAGGACTGAATTCATTTTCGGATGAAAATGTTGATGTAGCATCACATGCTGGTGAGTAATATTAAACGTTTTTAAAATGAAGACGTCTAAATGATTATAAGGGGATTCTTAACTTAAATTCAATATATATTTTATCAGGATTGAAAAGGGATGTGAACTCATTTTCTGATGGAAATATCGACGTAGCCTCACCTCTTGGTACGAAAGAATTTGGCTGTATATGTTTGACAAGATGGAATTCTCACTACAATTGAATAGCGGAGCATACTTTCTTTTGTTTTTTTTAAAAGTTATATTATTTACACTGTAAAATCTGCTATATTTTCAGGAGTTAAAAGGGGAGTGAATTCCTTTTCGGATGAAAATGTTGATATAGCTTCATCAGTTGGTAAGCAGAATAGAAGCTTGACTATGTGTTAGCAAGTATTAGGAATTCTTATAATATATCATTAGCGTGGCATACTGTTTAAAGACATGAAACTTTAAAGTATTATTCGTTCAAATTTCATTTTAATATTTTTATCATCTACTCGCAGAAATTTCATTCCCGCTGAAATCTTCTATTATACAGAGCATAGAAAATAATTTTCGAAAAGTTTTTTTGGCTCAGAATTTAAATAATACCGGTAATTGTCGATCTTACCACTTAAGATAAGGTATTGCAAAAATAATGTTTACTCTATTACTTAAAATATTTTTTTTCAGTGAAAAGGGGAGTGAACTCTTTTTCGGATGAAAATGTGGACGTAGTTTCATCTGTTGGTAAGACAAAAAGATGAATGTTTTGGAATGTGTACAATGAATGCTTTTATTTTTTTTTTTTTAGTTTAAATTACAAATTAATACCGAAGAATATTTTGATGTTTTTTAAATACAATTTTACAGTGCAAAGAGGACTGAATTCTTTTTCGGATGAAAATGTTGATGTAGCATCACATGCTGGTGAGTAATATTGAAAGTTTTTAAAATGAAAACATCTAAATGATTATTAGGGGATTCTTTACTAAATTTTATATATATATTCAGGATTGAAAAGGGGAATGAACTCTTTTTCTGATGAAAATATCGATGTAGCTTCCTCTGTTGGTAAATAAACCTATCATTACAAAATAAGTTTTGTAAATACCAAAACATTTATATCTCTTTTAATTTTGTTGGAGTAACACAAAGTTCAATTCCATTTCATTTTAAAATTACATTTTTTAATCAATGTTGACTTTAATAGGTGAGGAAAGAGGCCTGGAAACTTTTTCCAGATGAAAATATTATCGTAGTTTTCATAAATGTTTTTATTTCTATAGATAAGATAAAAATTGTAGCAAGAATTGAGTATGTAAATTTACATTGTTAATGAAATTGGAGGAAAATTGTCAAAAAGTGTTTAAACATGCACTTTCTCTACTCCATAGGAGTGAGGAGAGGGGTGAACTCATTTTCAGATGAAAATGTGGATGTTGCTTCAAATATTTGTAAGTGTATATGATTTTTTTTCTGTGTGAAAATGTTTTTTAAGGAATCTTCATCAAGTTGATGACAGGTATCTTACTATTTAAGCCTAGTTTTGCTTAAGAACAAATAACTATTATCAATTAATACCTATTCTCGTTTCTATTTTGGTCTTGCTTTATATTGAAACAAGGAAGCTGTTAATACATTTAAAAAAGAACAAATATTGTGTATATTTGCAAATCATAATTATGAATTTATTTTTATTTTGTTTTAGAAATCTAGACAACATTCCAGTGAAAATGGAAACTTCTGATGATATATGTTTTAAGTATTTTTGCCACGAGCTGAACAAACAATAAACATTTTTTTAATGAAATATATCTTCAGCGTTTGATGAACATGTATATATATGATTTATTTCAATAAGCCATTGGGATCCACTGAGAGATAATGTATATAAAGTTCTAAATTATATAAAAAATATTTCTTAACTTTCCTAAAATCATTTATTAAAGAATATAATTATGACATCAAAAAGAAAAGACGAAAAAGGTATAGTTACTTAATATCATTATTTTTTTTAAAGATTAACTCCGTTTCCAAACTGCTTGAATTAAGTTGAAGTAATTTTATTCTGCTTTTACAAAATAATTGTAGTCACACAAATATTACTTGCTAACTTTGTCAGCAAATACAACCCATCAGTAAACTGAATGCTTGCTGACGTTTTCTATACGAATTGTTTGCCTATTATTTATAAACTAATTTACATGTACCTACGGATTGCTCCGTTTGCCCGATGATGACAAGAGGCATTCGGGGGGGGGGGGGGGGGGGGGCTTAATTCTTTGACATCGGGGGATGCCCACTTCTTTGACATCACCTGATCTGCTCTGGTCTATCTAACTTTGCATTATTTCCATGGACATTTGAACATGATAAATATTCACTTTCTCCATCTCATTTACTATTAGTGCTCTAGTAAAAAGTTACTGCGCCAAACACAAAAACTGCATAACTTAACATCATGATACTAGTTTTTCCACATCGTTTTATCTCTTCCCTTCGGAACTTAAATGGCTTCATACATGTAAGACTGGGTTTAACTCAATATAGTTTGGATTATCGAATATTTAAACCTGCAAAGATCTTGGGATGAGTGTCTTATAATTATACTAATGAAGGGCCGTGCTAAAACATTAAGAAAGCACTGTAAATCAATAAAAAAAAAGATAAAGAACATTGTGACTTTAATTGTCATAGAAGTAAAGTTTAAAAATTTTATTTACTAAAACTCTTAAAAGTATTCCTACATTATGTATGTAACGTTTATTAAAGTTACATGTTTTGGTATAAAGCATTCAAAATAAGAATAAATATTCTCAAAGCAAAACAAGAACAGTCATGTAGAACGTAAGAAAGATTGGTCATTTCTAATGGTTATGTATTCACAGATTTACAAGTCATTTCATAAAGAACATAATCCATATGGATCTATATATGTACATAGTTTCTCGTCCACAGTAGAATTGATACACTGTATTCACATCTGCATATTTCAGTCTTTCAGATATTGATCAATCTCCGATGGTAGACACATGAAAAGTTCAAACTAAAAAATAGACAAGGTAAAATTATTAAGGCTAGAACATTTAATATTTAAATTTTTATTATGTATAAATTTGGGAGAAAAAAGCTGCCAGAATTTATTCTTGTTAATATTAATGATATTATTGATTTTTTTTAAAATATAACATTAAAACGTTTTCACTTTCAAATAAGCTGCAAAGAATTCCTAATCAAACTTACGTTATCAACATATCCGGTAAAATGCCCTAATTGACTTCCGGCTCCGATAACAATACCACTCTGTCTTTTAATAATGTGTCCTAAAAATAAACAAAGCATCCCAATAAATTAAAATCTCTGAATTGTTTGTATTATTTCATGACACACAGGGATTAGAAACGCCGATTTTTGTTGGATAAAGCAAATTTTAAGACCCAGTCAAGCATGCTTTCTTGTATGATTTGGATTCCAAAAGTAGTCTGCAATATTGGGATATATGTTGAGTAGTATGACACAAATGTCCTTACCTGTAAGTCTAACATTAGCCCTCACGTTGTTAATAACTGCCACTGCATTCTCCCCATTGTAGATAAAGATTACCTTATTCATCACATTTTTCTGTAATAATAAAGTTAAAATATTGCGAATGTTGTATTCTTTTCTATTGTTTTGTTTTATAGAGCATTTTTGGGTTTCAAAAGAAGCTGTAAAATAATCTTAATGAAAAAGTGATTTTAGATAGATAAAAGACATTTTATCAAACACTAACCCCGTTCACCTAGATTTTCATATATTTCAATTTGAAACAAAAACGTCTGGGTTAAAGTGGACAGATACTGCAATAACATACATAGTACGATTGACGAATAGTTAATAATCAACTATTACAAAAGCTTTCAGTATGTTGTCACTTTACCACATGCAGATCTTAGATCCGCCGATAAAAAAACAGAATCGCCCATAAATACAATAGATCCGCCCAAGAATACAATGATTTACCGTGTAAGGCACGATGAACTCTGCCTTGGCGTCAGAAGTCTCCAATCCAAAGATAACAGCGCTGATTTTCTTATCCACAATCATCGATATCGTGGCCTCTTCCTGGTACGAGAAGATACAATTGGTAACCAGTGCCTGCTGTTCAGCGCCACCTGGTAGTTCCTGGAACTCAAGCCTGATAACGAGGCTCTCCTGAAAATCAACGAATGCGAAGCGGTAGAGATTGATCATTCCAGATCCGTTGAATTTGGCCATTCTCAGAGCTGGGTCAATATCGACGTATTCGTACGTGACGGTGATGCCATTCGTGGAGGAGTCCGCAAAGGGTCTAGACGGGTCATCAAAAGTCATGATTACTTCCGGTTTACATTCTAAAAAGTTGAAGACAATTTTTACTACAATGTCCATGTAAATTTTTGTAAGAAGAAACTCTGTCGTTTGAACGTAAGATTTTAATTGTTTCTTATTTTTAATAATGTTTAATCTGAAATATTTAATACATGTCCATCATTTCACCTATGTTTTTTTAATTTAACAATTAAGTTTAAATTACTCACCATTAAGATTTGAGGAAGGCAGAATGGTGACCATCCTGGTGCAGCCGCAATCAGCGGCGACGAAAGCGGTTCCTAGCGGACAGCGCATAGAGATGTTTCCAGACGGCGCCATTTGTATAAATTTCTGTTCATCAGTAACATCAGGAAAGTTTGTGCAAACTGAAAAACGAGAGTCTCATTGTTTTCAGGTACATCTTTTCATATATTAATTTTAGTTGATAATGATAAAGGCCCCCATCCTCCCGAAAAATCAACACAAACTGCAATGTTTATGTCTGATGATTCATTTAAGATAATCATTTATTTATTAGTCAATTATCGTTCAAATTTCTTTTCTCTGTGTTTTCAAACAGACGTTTGATGAATCTTGATATAAGTGATTTGTATGACCCATCTATATATAATTGTTATGCATGATTTGAACACTAAGTGGTAAATTTTTATGGCTATACTTGGCTTCCTTTAACTTTTTGTACCTTGCGTTTTATGCTACTAAATCATGTTATATGGGGACTTAATGGCTACTGTAATGGCGGAAATGTCATTATGTGTGCAGTTTTAGCATTACATCTGTCACAATTATCATAAACGATGCATGTCTTGGTGAAGATTCACTAATGTGTACTGTTCAACGAGATAGAAGACAAATTAATGTATATAACTCTACATATACATGTATAAAAAATGTCGAGTCTTAAACTGACTGCCAGTGTAGTATACAAATTGATTAAAATTAGTATATATAAAATTAGAAACACTTCTTAACCGATACTGTTGTTTGATATTGTGTTCATAAAATGTGTGCAGTAATTTCAATGTTAAGTATCATAAATTCACGAAATTGGTATTCTAATATTAGCGTCGCTCATTATTCTAATTAATAATGAAAACCTTTGATTCTAGGAAACAGTCAATTAAATGATTTCTATATAATAAACAAAGAAAATAAAACGTTTAATTGCCTCTGACAAAATACTTACCAACAGGGGCGACAATTCTGTTATCTTTTGGAGGACAATCTGACAAACAGGTTGGATCCGTGGTGCAGCCCACGCCCTGTACGTAAGCGTTATTGCCGGACGGACAACAGGAAGCCACCGCGGTTCCATTCAGACATACCCAGAATGCACTGCAGTGGTCCGCCATTGCTATAGTGCCAGCAATCTTCCCGATACAAGGACCTACAATTGAGAATTTTGATTAAATGACTCTGAAAATGAGTTTGAATATATACATGTATATTGCTTAAAAAAGCAAAGAAATTTCTTGGCATTTTAATGAGGAGCATAAGAAATAATTAAAAATTTATAAAGAAGTCTTTTTCTCATGGAATGAATTTTTGAGACTTGAAGAAGAGATATCGGTTCCTGTATAGTTGTGGTAGTGATGAGTAGTTATTTATATTATATTTTACATTTTGTGTTGGAGTTAGATTTGTTACTTTCCTTGTACATGTACCTTGAAAAAATGAATGAAAGTTAATCCCTAATGAAAATAAGTAGTTTTAAGGTTATAAAGTATATTATTTCATTAATTAGCTGCCTATGCCTTTTTGACATCATTATGACCGGGTCATCCTATCATTCCCTTTCTTTCTGCTTGTCCACATTCTGTCATCTTTCCTACTTAAAATTATGACTTAATGTCAATACTCCCTATGTCATATTATCTGCGCTTACCAACTTATGAAGTAGCTACTAGGTGCTTGCATTGACAACAAACGCCCATTGTAGGTTCAGTCAGAATAATGAACCTATCTGTACATACACTATTTCGACTTTTACTGTTGTAAAAACCTATTCTTTCACAAAAGGGACCCCCTTTCTCCCGTTTAAGACCATGCAGGACTACTTAAAAAGACATACTTTTGTCTATATGGTCCTCTATCGAACGTGACTGGCGGGGCATAGCCTACCTCACTTAAAAAACACACTCCTAGTGTACAAGCAAACTGTTCGAACACTTACTATCCGGGCAGTATACTTCGTGGGCGGGTTGACATGTTAGATGATTCAGATTCCAAAACTGTCCCCAAGGACACACGTGCATGAATTCCAGGGCCTTTCCGTCAGCATCAGGTAGCATGTAGATGAACTTTGTACAATCTCCAGCTACGGATTTATAGCCCCAGTTTCGACCAATGATACAATTTGGACAAAGCTCAGCTGTGAAAAAAGGGGAAAATAAACTTTCCGAAGTTTAATTAAGAAAAAAACGTCATTAAAAGGTGAAAAAATTAAACTTTTGAGTATCTTATTGTTTAGATTAAGCAGAAATGATAAAAAATCATACATATACAAAGTAAAAGAGCTTTTTGAAGTAAGTTAGTCTTTTAAAAATTTGATTTTATCTTCATGTATGTTTTAAATCTATTTGTTTAATAAATTCTCAAAAAATTAAATAAATAAAAACAGATGTAATGGTGTAATGGATTTATTGACTCACGTGCTATTGAGTTGATTCTGTCCGTAGTGAAAGGTAGAGCCTTTGTTGTAGTGATTGGACTAGTGGGGCCTGGAGAAAAAATATTTATATTCATATCTATAATGGTATTATTACAATTTCCAAAATAAAAAAAATGAAATCTCTTAATAACATAGAATTAAAAAAAGATAATTTTTGGTTTGAACATATTTTATTGTTAAGATGTTACAACAAAAGGATTGGACACAAGTACTTAATACTTAGAACGTCCTCTCCTTAGATAATTTAAAAAAGATAATTCAGTAGTAAAAATAAACAACAACTATAATTCTAATCTCGAAAGTGACCATATATTCAGTATTAACTGGTTATAAAATTTATTAAATGAACTTCAGTTTTTGAAATGTCTTTTTATCCAAAATGATCAGGATTTGATACAGAAATCAAAAATAAACTATTCTTTTGAGAGTTGGTTGTCTTTATCAATATGAAAAAAACCCACACTATTATGCCTATAAGACTTAAATATTAACGTTTGCTAAAGATACAGTTGAAGAAATCAATTCATGCTACGATACCTCCTGTTATGATAAGGTTTATCTGGTTACTAGACACCTCTCCGAGGGCCGTAGTGACTACCAACTGGTAATTAGCCTCATCCGTGCTGTCAACGCCATTGATCACAAGAACAGGGTTAGTTATAGAGTTAGTACTTCCGGTGTATTTGCCGGAAGTTCCTATCACGTCGATGTCATAAGCGGCTCCGTTACTAAACACTTTCTGCCACCTGACGGACAGAATCTGGACGGTGGCGGAAATAACAGCTGACAATGTAGCTGTACTTCCGTATCCAACAATAGAACTTCCGCTTATGGTAATGCTTGGGAGTTCTGCAAAAGAAAATTTTTAATGTTTTATCCTTATTATGAAGATAATTATCTCTTTAAGATTCTTTAATTTCATGTTTTTAATTAAAAAAAAAAGAACATTAATAAAAACTTTTTTAAATTACCGACGACTCGGATTTCAATAAGATTACTGGTAGTCTCTCCTCCAGTATTTGTCACAACCAGCCGATAGATGGCGCCGTCATTATAATTAGCATTATTGATAACAAGTCTTGGATTTAACGAAGAAACAGTGCTTCCAGAGTATTTCCCAGAAGATGACGCAATGTCTATATCTGTTACAACGCCACTTCCTGTGACCTTCTGCCATTTCATGGAGGTGATGTTTGAAGATGTGCTTATTGTGGCAGTTAAGATAATACTTCCTCCCAGAAGAACGGTAGATCCACCAGATAATACAATTACAGGTGGTGCTAAAAGATAAACATTAAAATTTATAGGTGATTGGCTGATAGATTTTTGGTTATATAACAAATCCTCCCTCTGTATTCTATATGTTGCAGATATTTCTTCTGCCCAGCCTAATTAAAAGTTTGCATTTCAAATTCACATTAAATACAAAGAGAACAAAGTTCTGAAACTGTGCCTAGGGCGTGATTCGGAAAATCATTCACACGAAGGAAATCACCGGTCGACAGGGGATACTAACCCTTTCATGGCACCTGATTCTACTTTCGATGTTTAAAGAGGTCCGTCTTTGTTCTAATCCAAATTTGTATTAATACAATGGACTTGTGAGCTAGGCTTCTGTTCATTATCTTCATGCATGTATTTCATACAGTGATTCCATTTTGATATTGTATACCTATTTTTGGATTTTACCTTCACAGACTAAGGGTCTCAATGCGGCATCCACCCTCTCCAGGGAGTCATTGAAAGAATTAGCCACGCTGAACACATTGGATGCAGTTGCAATTGTCTCTAATTCGGTTCTTATAACAAAAAAGAAAAAAAATCATCATATATCAAGATCTTAGGCTTCTTTGTCAGCTTTGTAAGTCTATTCCACAGACAGACCTGAGAATAATAAAGAGAAACGAAACTGTGTCTGTGATAATTTTACTTGAATTCGAAACTTCGGCTAAACACACCTGAAGATACTAGATCCGAATCCGATAGCTAACAGAGTGATGCCCTCTGCCCTCGCCATGGCTGCCTGGTTTTTGGTCTGATCCGGTCGAGCGGAACGACCGTCCGTGATGACCACTCCCACGCGATGGACAAAGTCACGTGCTAGGTTTCAGAAATAAACATTCAGTTAAATAGTTATCTACTGGCAATATCAATTACTGTTTTACTTTAATTGCAGAATTAAACTGATATTGTTGTTAAATATGTGATATCAAACTCTAAATATTGATGATTGGTTAAGAATATAAAACATAACCCGAATTATAGCGTACATGAATTACAAATTAGAAAAGGATGCATATGTCATATTTTAAACTTTAAGAGTAGTTTTATTTGATATCAGTGTTCATGTATAATCATTTTATAATACCAATTTTCGAATTATGTACATGAAAAGATCTTTGCAGTTTGTTAACTATGGTGTACCAATAGGGCCGTTTGCACAGTGTCAATGGCCCTATCGGGGCACCATAGTTTCTAAACTAAAATGTACCTAGCAAGAGCTGAAATTTAAAATAAAAGTTTCTTAAAACAATGATGTCCTCGTATGGCAGCTGAACGTTTCACAAAAGCAAATCGAACTCGGACAGGTCAAGAGTTTAAAAAATAATGATAAACAGTGAAAGGTCTTGTTAACCTTTTGACCTAGCAGTTTGATCCACTATTGATTAATTGTGCCAGACTTTAACCTTGTCAATAACTTTTAATCGGTTGAATCTGCATTCATATTTCATTGGTATATTCCTTGTGAGAAGACCTTTTCTCGCGTACAAATTTTTTTTTTTTTATCTTTTGACAATGACCTTGGAGTTTGACCTTCTTTCGAATAACTTTTTCTCCGGTGAAAACCTTGTACAGATAATGCTAGGGCTTTGATATATCATATATATAGTGGTGCCTGCTTTATGCTATATTTAATTATAGGGGGTCAGATTGCATAATATGAGACCAAAGATTTTTGTATTCTTTCGAAGTTTTTCTAATCTTGTCTTACCCCCTTATAATATGTTTATATTTTTGTTTTGCGTCATTTACTTCAATAAATGACATTTTTTCACTTTCACTACTGTTGTTATTTTCTATTTAATCCATCAGAAAACTAGCTCAGTTGACTTGGCTTCGGTCTTGCATTAATAAACGAGGAACATAAATAGTCTTTTAATTAAGTCATCTCTTAAATACAGAAACTTTGTACCTTTAACATTTAATCTCAGAGTTTTATCTACTTTTGAAAAAAACCCAAACAAATTAAGCTTTGTAGATTCTTATGACATCTTGTGCCAGAGCTTTCGTATTTTTCACAGGTTTTTCTTTTGACAAGGTCTTTCTTTGAAAACCGATATTGTTGATCGCTGGACGTTGACCTTAGTGAACTGAGAAAATGTCAACAAAAATCAACATAAATCAACCCACCCCCGTCCCCAATCTGGAATTTGAATTACATTATACAAAACACCCTTGATCTGAATCATCACTGTTCCCAATCTGGAATTTGACTTACTTTATACAAAATTTAACCTTCGTCTTGAGCTACCAGAATCATCACTGTTTCATAGACTTCTCTTGTTTTATAGTTAATGTACATGTACGTGCTACTTTTCCATTAAATTAATAAATGTTACATAGGAATATATAGGAAAATAAAAAATCTTCTTCTGAACCACTGGGCCAGGAAAGATGAAACTCATGTGGAATCATCCTCAGGTAGTGTAGATTTAAGTTTGTTCATGTCATGTTGCCAAGGAATATATAGGAAAAATGTTATTAACATGTAGTAAATTAAATGCTTAAGAATTTTCAAAACCCAGAAATTATTCAATGACATGCATGGCAACTTTGTAATGATGCTTTTGAAAAAGGTCGCAAAATGAATAAATAAATAAATAAATAAATAAAAAAACCCAGTAATTTTACTCACTACTTTTAGTTCGGAACATTTCCCTCATGGATTCTAACGCCCGAGCGGTTCCGGTACCGGATTTAGGGTGAGCAAGATTTTCAATTCTTGCCGCTAATAAATATTTGTTGTACGTTGACGTTAGTTCTATGGTATCGGCTGGATAGGTTCCGAACACAATCACGCCGATTCTCGTGTAGTTTTCTTCTACTGGATATCCCAGTAGTAAATTGTTCACAAACTTTTTCATACTTTTAAAGTCATCGTCTTTTAGACTTTCGGAACCGTCCAAAACAAACACAATATCTGATGGGACTCTACAATTCAACTCTGTGAGAAAAGAGAAAGTGAAAGTTAAAGCATTGGACATTTTACTGAAACGTTAATAGGTTACAAAATTAAAACAAAAATTTAAAACCAAATGTAAATAATGCATATTTGATGGCAACTGCTAATTTATTTGAGTTGCATGATAGTATTCTATTGAAAACTGAAATACAACTCAACAAAATATTTTGAAGCATCAAATTGAAAATATAAAATCTTTCATGAAAATCATGTCACAATGTCGTTATTAATGAGAGGCAGTACTGGACGTACGTTGGGATGAAGACAAAGAGATAATTTGAATGAAGACGAATAGACAACTCAGAAATCCGACCCACGATGATGATTGTTGCTGGATCATTTTGAAGAGTGGCGGATCTACAAAAGATATAGGTGTAAAAAGTTTTTGATCTCAAACCATGTTTCTCAATACTTATGAAACTAACAGAAAACGGTATAGTCATAAAAGACATACAATTCATAGTAGCAAAACTGTTCAGAAAGTTATAAATTTAAAATATGTTTTATCTGAATATTACTGAAAGCATATAAATGTAAGCTTTCAGTACCGCAAGACACAAGCAAATGTAAGGGCTTTGTCATTCATGACAAATTAATTTTCCTTAAATTGTCTTAGATAATGTAGTTTGCTTTTTGTCATTTAGCAAAATTGCTAAAACAAATGCCATTGCAAAGGAAATGCGTAATATCAATACACATTTATATTATGGACATTATTAAAGTAAACTATGTGTAACTGCATATCTTTCATTTGACAAAACCTGTTTTATTATTTCTGATTTATGCCTCTAGCTCGGTTTCAATAGATAATACCGAAAAATATTAACCCCACCCAATCAGATAAGCGACTGACTGACTTAGCCAAAAGCTCGCCAAAGTTCACGCAAAGTATTGTGGTTAATAATATGGTATATTTTGGTGAATCAGTGGTTTGTCGAGGACTAGGGGAAGTGGTACAAGCGGTTAGAAATATAGTCCTTTATCGAAGGATTTATGAGACCGAAAAAAATAAATGTGACCGTGTTATCGCTCGACGGAATGATGATCTCCGGAAAAATGAAACATTCATATCTCATCAGAGCTAGCCACGCGACATTTGAGACCAGGGCTATCTTTTCTTGGGCTTGCATAATTTTTTTTCGGGGATTTGCTCTATATACATGTGATATGAACTGACACGCAATCATCGAACGCCTAGCCAGTTAATCAGACACGTTTGTATAATTAAGACGCGTCAAACATCGAAAAGAAAAAAAGTAGAACACCTTTTTCAAACGATTTTTGTAATTTTGATTTTTTGTCAACAAGGTGTACATCAGAAGTATTATTCAGTTTAGTTCAAAATATTTTTTCTTAAGGAAATTATCAGTTGTTGCGTATTTATAGAAATAAGTTTTATATACAAAAGCTTGTTTTTAAGCAGAAATTTCCGGTAAATAAATAGATGTAAGCACCTAGGCGGAAGCACCCTAAAAAGTAGTATTCACTCTCGTAAGAAAGGGCACCATGACGATTTTACATCATGACAAAATCTTTCAGGCCCTCAGAAAACAATTTACAATTTAAGTGGTGGTGGTAGGGAGGCACACATTTTCAGTTAGGGGCAATATCAATTCTACTAAAATTCCTTAACAAAAAAGGGTCATCTGACGTTTTTATTGAGGGGCACAAGCATATAGCAGCCATATTTTTGTATATAGTAGTCTATAATAAATCAAAATCATTGGCGGGAGGGGGGGGTGGGGGGGGGTGGAGGAGGTCACGCCCCCAAGCCCATTTATACTCCAACGGTCATGTCTTTTACATAGGTTTTTTTCTAGGAGTTTCCTAAAGTTTTAAATCAGGTAGAGATCCCAATTAAAACTTCCACTTCTGAGACAGAGAAATATAAGATAGTTACTGTATGTTTTATGTTTTGTAACACCCCCATCCCGTCATGCTTGTTTTCAGTTTATACATTGTACATTTCTAAGTATAATTTTGCCGATTAAAACTGTACATTTTGCAATTTATCATGGTGCAAGTAATGCCAAGTATGTGGAAAAACATACATACATGTAAATTCGCCTGAAATTATGTTGAAATTCGTTCCTGAATTATCTAAGGCAAAAAGTGATAGATAGCAGAGTTAAACATTTTTAAAAGTTAATCCACTGAAGAATTTCTTATGAAATGTGATTTTCAATTTGATGAAACATACAGTAAAGTACAATACCATCATACATTTTATGATTTAAAAAGAGTGTTACTGTATTTTGTGACAGCTTTTGCAGAAATAATATATAACTGGCTTAAGAAGGTTATTTTTATGTTTTTTTCTTAATTTTATTATTTTATCTGTATTGACATTTCAAATTTCACCAAAATACCTTGTTTGTTCATGTATTCATTACAAAGAGATGTTACATAATCATATATAGATGTGAGTCGAAGAAAACACTGAAAATGGAATTTTCTGTATCCAGTTTATCCCTGAAAGGAATCTTATTTTTTTAACAAATAGATTTCTGATACTAAAGAAATACACCTAGATTTCTTCCGATCTTAAAACAAATTATGATACGTGTATAACTTCACCATAAACCAAAACTTTCATGACAAGAGAAAAGTACACGAAGAAATACTTTTGACATAATTGAGTTGAAAGACGACTCAATATTTTCTACTCCTTCGAATATGTCATAGATAGCAAAAACTAGGTTATTCTTATTTAATTTTACAAAGCAAATGACCTGCGTCCGAGAATAAAAACCACGGAGAATCAACCTGACTTAAAACTTACATTTCAGTTAGATGGAGTAACTTTGATCCTTAGAGGAAAAATAATAATTAAACACTTAATCTCCATTGTATAAATATACCAATACACACTGTCCAGTAATACATGACTTATAATAACAAAACGGTAATATTTGATAAAACAAGATGATAATCCGCAAACCGACACGGGCTATTAAATACGACATGTTGCCTGATCAAGCGTGACCGATTTGACCTTTCCAATGACCATTTAATATAATTAGTTATGCAACCAATGGTGTAATTTTGCACAGAATATGTATTGATGAAATGAATGGAATGCAATAAAGAAAATTCCATCATGTTCCGTGCTTATTGTGTATAAATTGAAAAATAATCAAAACAATCTTGATAAAAAAAATTAAATGATCTTTAATAAGATTTTAATAATGGTTTTAGCTTGCATGCAAGAACAATTGCAAAACATGTTTGTTTTAAGTTTATTATTAAAAAAGTATATGTTCCGGAAAAAAAAATCTTTTTTATCAATTATATGTATATATTTTTAATTGATGTAGAACATACTTTTTTTAATATTCTGAAGAAGTGGAACTTGTAATGGTAAAAGAGAAGCTCCTATCAATGTTAGAGATTTCACCGTGAAATAATAAAATAGTTTCGCCCTCTTTTACAAATTGAAAAAGAAGTCAAGATAATGTATTTTACAATTTTATTGCAAGAATGGGTGTAAAATAAATAAAAAATTAATTTCTAAAGTTATACTAAAATAATTTTCCTATATTATTTGGAAATTAGAAATGAAAGAGAAAATGTCAACTGTTTTAAAATAATATATCTTCATTATCAATAAACAAAAGATATATGCAGGACTTTGTACTTTACTTTATATGAACCTGAGAGTTTTTTGCCCTAGCTTCACACGTATCTATAAAACATAATCATTATTAATTGAGGGGATAAAATACAACACAGCAATTCGTATAATAGGTCAAACACGACGATACACCTCCATTCTCTATAAAATTCTGTGTGTACATCATTTTCCCAGACATTTTCCAATAAATGTCCGATGTACCAATAGCAGATACGAAGCAGAACCGAACACCACCATACGAGGAATCCGTGACGTCACATCAAGGTCATAAATTATCATCCGTAGAAGCCTTTACACTTAGTCATTAATATACTGCTAATTGAGTATATTTATGGGCAAAAAGGCAATTAAAAATACATTTTATATTTTCAATAATTATAAATTAAAATAAATCACGTCAATTTTCAGAAGATTTTTTAAAAAAAAGAGGACGAACAAAAGTCAAGGAAGAAGATGCAAGACTTATCGCAAATTAGTATCTTTTAGTCTGGTATTGAAGCAATGAAAGCTATTATATAGAACAAATTAATAGTGTCGTTAATATTAAGAGTAGTTCAAAGAGTACTTGGACACCAAACCACAGTATCAACGCCATCTTCACGGAAAGTTTTACAGCAGAGTGGATTGAGGCCGTAGGCTATAGGTCGAGTCAGAGATGTTCCGATAGGTGTTCACGGGGTAGTTTAATCTCGCGAGATCTAAATTGCCTGAATCGTTACGTTATCACAGCTGTTGAAGACTGTATTTTACGGAATGTTAATTCTGATGAATTTTGTCCTTTTGCTTACGCAATATGTCTAAATTTAGACGAATGGAGACAAATGGACCCTATTCTAGCTGTATTTTTTTTAAATTTCGTAACTTGAAGTTTAAAAAGCTTTTATGTGTTAAAGAAAAAAAGCTTATAAGGCAGATGGACGAAAAATGATCTAATGTTACATTATTTAACTTTCCGTTTATTTGCTTCAATTTCAATATGCAACAAAAACTAAATAAATGTCTTTCACTAATTAACAATTTTCAATTACCAATGCGTACATTAGTCATGTACCCATTGGCAATTGAAAATTGTTAATTAGTGAAAAACAGTGATATTGTATTGCATTTCAACTACTTTTAAACGTAAAGTATTTAGGATAACATTGTTCTTTTTCATTAAAATATCTAAAATATATGTAAGACTGAAATAGCGTGGTATTCCACTTCTTATTGAAGTGGCAAACACAGTTTTAAACATATTAAATAATTTTTACATCTAAAATCAGTGTAGATAATTTAGTTTTACACGGTTTTCCTTTAAGACCTTCTGATTTATATCATCAAACGTTTTTGTCAGTTTTAAGGTTTCTGAACTCTCATAGGCATCTTAAGCTCTCTTAAACAATGGA